GCCAGCACTCTCCACCCCCCCAAGCGCCGCACGCCTGGGGCCGGTGCTCCCCGCATGCGCCGTGCGCCCTGAGCACGGGCGGCCAATCCGCGGCGCTCCCGGGGCCGGCACTCACCGTGCGCCACATGCCCGGGTCCAGGCCAGCCCCGAGCACTTGGCGGGTGCACACAAATGCCCCCTGTGTTGCACCGTGTTGGGGACCATGGCCCTACTGCATAACACACGTCAGATTAAGCTCTGTATGCGAGTGTGAGGGAATGTATTTGGCATACAGAGTCAATTTAAGTTTACAGGTAAATTGGCTTTGTCATTAACTTGTTGCCTAAGACTCACCTGAGGTAGGTCAGGCTGTTGGCTGCAGATGAAACTATTAAACTGAGTCCCTTGTAGAGGCAAACTTATCCCCTGAAAGGCCTGTCACCTGAGAGATACTGGCCCATTGCCACACTGATTTCATTGTCACTATACAGGAGTAAAACCGAGACACAGAGCTCCCAACATACAGAATGGGAAGCGACTGTCTAGGAAGGAGTCCTGCAGAAAGGGATCTAGTAGTCAAAGTGGACCACAAACTAACTATGAGTCAACAGCGTGACACTGTTGTAAAAAACCCAGACATGATTCTGGGTTGCATGAATAGGAGTGTTGTGAGCAAGACACAAGAAGTCATTCTTCTAGGCAGTCCCCGGGTTACGTACAAGATAGGGACTGTAGGTTTGTTCTTAAGTTGAATTTGTATTTAAGTCAGAACTGGTACATATTATTGTAGGGGAAACTCTAGCCAAACCTTTCTCCAGAGCTCAGTTTTATTCTCCCACACCTCACTTCCCTCAGTCCTTTATTCTCAAGCTGCGGTGTCTGCTGAGAAAAGCCACTCCTGGGGGAGCGCTAGCTTCGCGTCTCCCTGGTCTGCTGGGGGGAAGCAGCTAGTGCGGGGTTGCCTCACCCCGTTTGTAAGTAGGGATCCGATGTAAGTCGGACCCATGTAACCCGGGGACTGCCTGTATTGTGTCCAGTTCTGGGTGCCGCATTTCAGGACAGATGTGGAGACACTGGGAAAAAAAATCCAGAGAAGAGCAAAAAAATGATGCAAGGTCTAGAAAACATGACCTGCAAGGGAAGATTGAAAGAACTGGGGTTTGTTTAGTCTGGAAAAGAGAAGACTGAAAGCGGACAAGAGAAGAGTTTTCAAATACCTAAGAAGATGTTACAAGGAGGAGGGAGAAAAATTATTCTCTTCTGAGGATAGGACAAGAAGCAAGGGGCTTAAATTGCAGCAAGGGAGGTTTGGGTTGGTGTAACACAGTGTTTCTCAACCAGTGGTACAAGTACCACTAGGGGTACTAGAGAGAAGTCTGGTGGGTATGTCAACACAACTGAAATTTGGAGAAAACTGAATTTTTGTGTTAAGTTTTACAGCGCTTTATTATTTTTGTACTTTTTACACCCAAAAATTTAATTGCACGCCTGGCTGCGATTAAGTTGTTTAAACAAATGTGTTGCAATGGTAAAAAAAAATTGTGTCTGAAAACTGGAGGTACTTATAATTTTTTTTTTAAAGGGGTACTTTATAAAAGAAAAAGTTGAGAAACAGTTGTGTAACAGTCCGTGACTCACTGGTGTGGCACCTCCTGCTGGTCACACTGGGAATTAGCTCAGGCTTCAGCAAGGTGCCCCCTTGCAGCCAGTGCGTCTCCTGTCCTTGCTCTGTGTTCTCTCCACCGTCTGCCGAGCAGTTCCTTATAAACACAGCTGTCCCAGCAAGCCATCCTCTGATAGGTTCCCCTATGAGCCCTTTCCTCATTGGCTGGGGCATTGTGCAGTCTCCCTCCAACCAGCTTTAACCCCTTCTGGCCAGAGTGGGCCAGCTGCCCAAATACAGTTAGATATTAGGAAAAACTTTCTAACTGTCAGGGTGGTTACGCACTGGAATAAATTGCCTAGGGGGGTTGTGGAATCTCCCTCACTGGAGATATTTAAGAGCAGGTTGGACAGACACCTGTCAGGGATAGTTTAGACGATGCTTGGTCCTGCCGTGAGCACAAGGGACTGGACTTAATGACCTCTTCAGGTCCCTTCCAGTCCTACGATTCTATGTATGCGCCTAAGTATTTTGAGAAATGTGATATTGAATCGAAATGTGATCAAAGCATTAAAGACTCATCTGCTTCATATTTGAGAGTCTGTCTGTCTGTGAGTCTGTCTGTTCAAGAACTCTTCCTAACAGATAAGACCTAGGACCACCAAATTCGGTATGTAGCTTCCTCTTCTTCTAACTTATAGCAAGGCCAGGGTTTGCTTGTGCCAGAAAAATGGGCTGTGCCTGGAATGGGAATGAAGCTTCTCAACAAAGAAAAGAGACACCGAATCACCAGGCAGGTGGAAGGGGCTGGCTGGGGGCACCATCCCCTCCCATCCTGGGCTGCCACAGCCCTGAGCTTCCCACTCCGGGGGGACCTTAATTAGCCGGGGAACCGCTAATAGGTCATCAAATGTCTGTGCTGAGAGACAAGGCTCTGGGCTTGTTCAAACACGGAACTTCAATTTAACTTAGTTCAACCTAATGCAGTTTTTGGGTGTGAACTCTCATGTTTGTTTAAAACTGGCTTATATCTGTTTAGCTCTCGCCTGTTACTGGCACAAGCTAAACTGATAACCTTAATTAGCCGGGGAACCGCTAATAGGTCATCAAATGTCTGTGCTGAGAGACAAGGCTCTGGGCTTGTTCAAACACGGAACTTCAATTTAACTTAGTTCAACCTAATGCAGTTTTTGGGTGTGAACTCTCATGTTTGTTTAAAACTGGCTTATATCTGTTTAGCTCTCGCCTGTTACTGGCACAAGCTAAACTGATATAAACCCTGTTTGATGTTGTATCCGAGTAGAGGCGAGTGAAAATTTTCGCACAAGATACTGTTTTTGCTAAAAAAAAATATAAGTTCAGGAAACTGAAGAGCTTCATGAATGTCAATTTTCAGCAAATTGTTTCAGTTAAAAAAAAATCCCCCCAAAATCAAAATGTTTAGAATTGTTTGGTTTAAAACGACTTTTTTGCTTCAAAATTCCATCTCACATGAGCAAAAATCAAAACACTTAAAAATGGTCAAAATCCAAATGAAATGTTTTTGTCCCAAAAGGATTCTTCAGCTTTTTGACATGGCCAGTGAATGTTTAAAAAAAAAATCTGTTACTTGCTCAGAGCCCACATGCAAACGTTGCAGCGGTTTAACTAAATCCATACAAAACGGCATCTTTCGTTACAGCAGTACACGTTTGTGTATAGACCAGGCCGTAAAGACCAGGATGAGGAAGGTGTCGGTGGAGGGACTCCAAAGAAGTCCATCACTAACGCTTTGCCTTCTTCCGTCACAGTGTGTTGCATACTTAGAAACTACTTCCTACTGAAGGAGGCCTCAGAGCTAGCAATTCTCCTTAGATCTGGATGATGAACGGGTACTTGGACGAATCCGACTTTACGATGGTCGAGGAGGGCTTTACCACCCGAGACCTCCTTGACAACCTCCTCATGGAGGTCTCCCAGACGGTAAGTGGCACTTAGCTTCTACGGGCCCTTCCTTCCCATCCACTGGCCTCCCGTGGAGTCTAACTGTATTTCATGGAGCTCCCCGGCTCACCCTGCCTTCCCACACCCAGCACTACTCTGTCCATAGTATCTCAGGTAGTAGGCAGCTAGGTCCTTCTCCCTCCAGGGCTGGCGTGAGTGTGCACTCAGGGTACGCCTAGACTACCGGGTTTTGTCGACAGAAGTTTCGTCAACAGTATCTGTCGACAAAACTTCTGTCGACAAAGAGCGTCCAGACACATTGAGTTCTGTCGACAAAGCAAGCTGCTTTGTCGACAAAACCCTGTAGTCTAGACGCAACCCTACAGGCAATAACACCTTCTGTCGACAGAAGGTGTTATGCCTCGTAAAATGAGGTATACCAGCGTCGACAAAACTGCTGAGTTCTGTTGACGTTATGTCGACAGAACTCAGCGGTAGTGTAGACGCAGGTATAGTTTTGTCGACAAAAGTCCACTTTTGTCGACAAAACTCAGTAGTCTAGACACACCCTCAGTCTGGCCAGCCATCTCTTTTATACAGCCCTCCTGGGCTCTGATTGGCTGCCTCCAGGCCCCTCATGATTGGCCCCTAGCTACAGCCCTCTCCCAGGGCTGTTTTAACCCTTTTTGTGACCACCCTGCGACACTTGGTTGTTGGGTATCATTAGAAGGCTTCACTGTGTTCAGCAGCCAAAAATTTGATTCTTAACAAGCCCCCGAATTGGAGGGACCTTGATCATTGGACACTTAGGGCCTGATTCTCCCCTTTCGTGTGCGGGTGTAAATCAGGAGTAAGCCCACTGGCGTCACTGGTATGAGTGGAAAATCAGGCTCTTCCTTTCGGGCATGGGGCCTTTGCTGCTCCACTCGGAAGAGTCTCTGCTCCTCCTTTGGGGGAGGAAGGGAGGCGCAGCTGCCAGCTCCAGTCTCTTCCCTCTAGACCAGCAAAGGGGCCTTCTTTGTGGCAGACCTGGGGGATGTTGTGAAGAAACACCTGCGCTTCCTGAAGGCCTTGCCCCACGTCAAGCCGTTCTACGCGGTGAAGTGCAACGGCAGCAGAGGAGTGGTGCGGACGCTGGCCGAGCTGGGGGCAGGGTTTGACTGTGCTAGCAAGGTAGGAAGAAGAACTCGAGAGCCCCACCTCCTTGGGGTGCTGTAGCTAGATCTGTCCCCTGGACGGTGGGGCGGGAACCAGCCACGACAAGCTATGAGAGCACAAATATTAAACCCGATGGCAGTCTCCACAACGTGTCAGGGACTTCCCAGGCTGCATTTCCACGGGGGAGTCTCCCCCTTCTGGCAAAAGAGAAATGGTGCATCTCGGAAAATGGGCTTCCAACACAATCAGTCCCTTCGCTCCCATGTCTGGGTTTCCCATGTTTCCTGGAGAGCAGGCTCCATCAGGGTGCTGGTTTTTCTGGGGCGTGCTGCCCCACTGCACTCTGAGGCGGTTCGGGGCGGAGTTAAGAGCTCCTTCCTGTGTCCTTTAAGCATAGCCTGGTTGCTGAGGGTGGCTCAACGCAAGGCTACTGCTGTCTGTGTGAGTCAGGGGAACACGTTGCTAAGGTGACATGTATTTATAGGTCTTGAGAACAAAGCTTCAGGGGAAACAGGCAGACCCCCGAGGCCAGGCCAGTGAATGGCGCTAAAGACAGCCGGGGAGGAGATGCTTATGCCTCCCTGCTCACACCATGGGAAGCGGTTTGGCCTAATGCCGGGGGCGGGGAGGGGGGAACCTTTTTTGGGTCAGGAGCTGCTGACCCACAGAAGAATCAGTTGGGGGCCGCACACAAGTGAGATGCAAAAAACAAAAACAAACAACCCCCCCCAACCAAAAACACCAAACCTCTCACTAATGTGGCCCCCAACTAAGGAGAAAGACCCTCCCCACACTCCCCTCACACACCAGAGCCTGGGGAAGCCCAACCTGGTGGATTTTGTGTGCTCCAGCCCCATGGCGAGGTGGAGGGGCAGGGGGCTGGAGAGCCAGCACAGGCTCCCCAATGCTGGGGGGGAACCCTGCACTTCGGGGGTCAGATCCAGGCAAGTTGGGGGCCACATCCGGCCTCCAGGCCTTAGGTTCTCCACCCCTGGCCTAATGGATAAGGGCTGGGGGGCAGTGTTTTTATTACATCTCTTGTCACCTGGTCCAGCCAGCTCGTCTCCTGCCCTTACAGACCGTCCTTGGTCTTGTGTTTCTAGTGATGTGTTTACTGCTGAGTCCACCATGACCCTGATGGGCAAACCCACCTTTCTTCATCTGTCTGCTCCCCAGCAGAATCCCAGGCCTGAATGCTGATGAGTTGGTGAATCCACAACATGCTTTAGAATGCCCCAGGACTGGAGCTCTTGGGTCCATAAGAACTTGCGTCCTGCCACACGGAGTCCCCCGGGGGCTGATCCGTACACCCTGCTAATGCTCTTTCTCTGCCCTTGCAGGCGGAGATGGCGCTAGTCCAGAGCATCGGCGTCCCACCTGCCAAGATTATCTACACCAACCCCTGCAAACAGATCTCGCAGATCAGATACGCAGCCAGTCACGGGGTGCAGCTGATGGCCTTCGACAATGAAGTGGAGCTCGGGAAGGTGGCAAGGAGCCACCCACGTGCCAGGTGTGTATACAAACCAGCCGTGGGCAACCGAGGCTAGCGAGTGGGCCGCAGGAGCGACCCTCCTTCCTCTCAGCAGCTCACGAGGGTGTCGTAACCAAAAGGGGTATTTTGTAACTGCACGTGCGCACCTAGAACTTGCGGGCTGGGCTGACTGCGCCATAGCAGCGCTGGGATTGGATGCAGGGGGAGCACCCAGCTATCACAAGTCTGTGTTGTGTGCAATCCGCACCCCCTTCACTTCACCTGTCTTGGTTTTACACTTCAGTAAAAGTGTCGCTTTAGTAATACCAGTAGGAGAAAACCTATGCGGACAGACAGCAGTGGAACCTGGCAACTCTGTGCATGGGCAGCAGGAAACAGCCTCTCTTGTGGGCCACACGCAGAACCCCAGTGGGCCGCATGCAGCCCTCACGCCGCAGGGTGCCCGCCACTGATCCAAACTCTGGGTATGGAAGAAGGATGCTGTTGAGGCTGGGAAAAGAGACGGGTCGAAGGCCGGTCTCTAAGTCTCATCCAGAGGATCAGTTGTGGCCAGGGCCTCCGTGTATTTTCATAGCACGTTCATGTTCCGTGCACGAGGGCTTCCGTAAAGAGCTGGAGCGATCGTGTCCCATGGCCTGCCTGGTAACGGGAGTGGGAGACAAAGATCTGGGACACCGACCTGGTGTAACTTCATTCCACAGGATGGTTCTGTGCATCGCCACGGACAGCTCCAGACCCTCTGCCAGTCTGAGCGTCAAGTTTGGGGCCCCCCTTAAGTCCTGCAGACGCCTGCTGGAAATGGCAAAGGAGATGAATGTGGAGATCGTTGGCGTCAGGTACAGGGTGGCACCCACATACCATGAAGCCCAGTTCTCCCTAACCTGAGAGACATAAGCACAGACCCTGCACCCTAACTTTACTTGCACTGCACTGTGTGGATCTGGGAGGGCCTGTCTGATCCCCCAACCCTGGACAAATCAGTCGTATTGATTCTCTGGAGGGATTTCGCCTCTATTTCTGGTCACAAATAGCCCAGAAAAAGGCAGCAGAATTCCACATTAATTATCACACTCTTCCCTCCCTGCTTTCCTCAGCCAAGGATTCCTGGCTACAGGGTTTTTTGCAAATTGCAAGTGTTGAAGTTCAAACTGTTGGTTGGGTCTCCAAGTCACATGGTATCGTTTCTGTTCCTTCATTGGTGGACTTGGGGAACTAGCCAATAACCAAGCCAATTTTGCAGTGAGTATAAAACAGAAAATTTGCACTCGGGGATTTTGGTTTCATAACTAAAACTATTTCAAGCTAAATTGTGACCATGAAACGCAAGAAGATAAGGAAGGGGTCATGGGTGTGTGAGCAAAATTAGTTCGATCTATCACAAGAGTGAGCCTCTGTAAGGCCTTTTCTTCCTATGGATTTAAGGCTGATATCTTTCAAAGGATTCTAGGGGAGTTAGAAGGATCACTTCCTATTGAAAGTCATTGCAAATAGAGACCTAACATCTTGGAATTCCCAGCCTAGATATATAGGGCCTTGCTGGCAGGGCCGGATTAAGGAGGGGGGCTAGCCGGGCAGGCCTGACAGCAGCTGTAAGGGGTGCCGCATGCCTGGCCCCCCTTAGAGCTGCCATCAGGCGCCGCACGTCTGATTGCAGCTGTAAGGTGCGCAGCGCGCTGGGGGGCAGGGCCATGTATGCGCCGTGCACCTGGGGAGCTGCACGTGCGTCGCGCGCCCGCTGCCTGGGGCGCAGGAATGGCTCAAGCCGGCCCTGCTTGCTGGAGTCACTTTCTGTGCGTTCACTGCAGCCTGCCTAGGAGAAGTCACACACACCGCGCTCTCCTCTGGAGGCTTTATTGTTGTTTTTCTTTAGTCTGAAAGGTTACTCTGAGGCTTTGCCTACACTACAAGGTTTTTGCGGCAGAGAGTATGCTAATGACGGACTCATTAGCATGAGTTGTGATGTCATTAGCATATTTTCTGCCGATGGTTTTTGCGCAAAAAGAAGCAGTGTAGCCACTTCCGTTTTGTGCAGAAAAACCCTTTGGCGCAAGATCCTTATGCCTCTCCCAGAGGATATTGGAAAAAAGGGTTTTTGTGCAAAACGGAAGCAGCTACACTGCTTTTTGTGCAAAAGGCATCGGCAGAAAATATGCTAATGACATCACAACTCATGCTAATGAGTCCGTCATTAGCATATTCTCTGCCACAAAAACCTTGTAGTGTAGGCAAAGCCTGACTGTAAATCTCTCTCCTCTCCGTGTCCGGGCCGTGCATAACTCTCCTACGATGATCTGAATAACATTTTGCACTCGTTTCCCTGCTCTCAGCCCTCGGGGGTTAGAAGAAACCGGGAGACGGGGCTGACCCCCGACTAAATTACCGATTCTTCCCCCTTAGTTTTCATGTCAGCGGTGGCGGCATCGACCCTCAAGCCTTCACTCGGTCCATAGCAGATGCTCGGCTGGTGTTTGAAATGGGTGCAGAACTGGGCTACAAGCTGTGCTTATTAGACATTGGAGGTGGATTCCCTGGCACCGAGAATTCCAGCGTGCGGTTTGAAGAGGTACAGAAATGTTAAGCTGCTCTCTTTAGGCAGAGACGGTAGATGGGAGGGAGTCCTAGCTACTGTTGAGTCTCTGGCCTTTATTTTGAAGGGGTGGTTAACTAATACATGTTGGAATAAATGTTTGAGGTTTCTTTTTTTTCCCCTTCCCTTCTATCCATCAGATTGCAGCCACCATAAACTCCGCCTTGGACTTATATTTCCCAGAAGGCTGTGGGGTGGAGATCATTGCCAAACCAGGACGTTACTACGTAGCTTCTGCCTTTACCTTGGCGGTCACTGTTATTAGCAAGCAGGAGGTTCCCTGGGATCTGCTGAGCTCAGATGGTAGGTTGGGCAGGTGGGCGCTGATGCTGTACCAGGTTGCTGGGATGGGTAACTGAGCTGGGGGCAAAAGCTTTTTGCTAGCGAGTTGAGAGCAAACCAGAGCAGAACTGCTCAGGGGCTTAGCACTTGCTAGTCCCAACTGGACCCGTTTTGACCCTGGAGGGCTGTAGAGACCGGCAGAAACGGGAGGGAGTTCATTCGGGCCTCAGTTCTCGCTATCTGTTGCCCTCAGCCATGCCGGTGTCTGGTCACCCCTCAAAAGCCACGTCAGGCCGACAAATGGGACATCCGTGGCCAGGCCCCATAAGTCAACGTCATAAGCTTGACACACAACGTGACCCTTCCCTGCTCTCTCCCATCCCCCAGACGAAGAGCCCAGCCGCAAGAAGAGCTTCCTCTATTACATTAACGATGGTCTCTACGGCTCCTTCAGCTGCATTTTCTTTGATCACACCTGCCCTACGCCCGTCCTGCACAAGGTAAGGAGGGCTGTCCTGGGGCAGCTTTCAGGTGCAACCTGAGAGGGAGCCCGAGTCAGTGTCTCTCCCAGCCAGGGGGAGAAGGAAATAACTTAGCACTCTGTGGAAGGCCTGATCCAGGCCTGCGGTTGGTGCCTTTCCTTTGGGACACACTCCCCCACGCTCTGATTGTAGCCGAAAGCCCCTGCCCAGGGCGTGGAGGAAGATCTCTGGGGTTTCTTCGCTTGCATATCGGAGCTCGTGGAGACCCCCGGCTGTAGCTCCCTTCACTGCCGCCCTGCCTGTCTGTCTTCACTGGAGAGCAACTGAGGCACGATCTGGGTGATGCTCCCTGGTGCCCACCATGGCCTGAGTCTCCCTCTCTTCCATGTGCATCCTGCTCTGAGCTGGAGCTCAGCCGGGGCGGCAGGTGTAAAGGCACTGCCTTGCCAAACCACCAGCCTGGCCTCACCCGTCCCCTACCCCCAGACTGCCTACCATGCTCCCGCAGAGGCTGGAGCTACGTGTCCCGGCAGGTGGGGGGCCCTTGGCTCTAGTGGGGGGCAGGGCTAGGGGCAGAGCTGGGGGCTTGCCCATGAGTTTCGCCTGTTCGTGACCCCGGGGAGATCAGAGCTGGAGCTGTTCCCTGCCCAGGATCCCGCTTTGTCCGTTAATTGATTAAACGGGATTTTGCATCCCTAGTGGGGGTGTACAGCCAGCTCGATCCAGGTCCATTTGGGTGCCTCTATGTGGGCTTAGTCACCTCGGACAGCACTAGAGGCCCACCCCGTGTCTGTCTGCTCCTGAGGAATGGAGGAAAGGGACAAGCACAAGTGACAGACAGAGCTTTCCACGATGTGTCTAACAACTGAGGATTAAACCAGAATCCCATTAAACCAAACCGGTCGTCACAGACCAATTCATTCTTGCTTTTCACTCCGGGAGACAATCCAGCCAGGTCGAGTTCCATTTCTGTTCCTTTACTCCCTTCTTTCTGCTGCTTAGGCACCAGCGCTGCCTTGTCCGGAGAGTTTAAAATCCCAACAACTGCTCTCTCCCCGCTCTCTTTTATCTCTTAAGGCTGTTAAAGGACTAATATTTTCTTCTGTAAAACTCCCTTTTTGCAGTGTGCATTTTGGGTCTGCCCTAGTCGATGGCTAGACGGCTCAAGCTGGATTCGTTTTCCATGGAGTTACTCCAGTTTTGGGTCAAGATCCTCAGCTAGTGTAAATCCACATTAGAGAGGTTAAAAAAAAAATCTATAAACCAGGATTTGTCATGGTGACATAGTTACTATCGGTTACATGGTTAACGGTATTACCTGGGGCTGGGTGGAACTAGGGAGGGAAGGATAGTGCGGGGGTGTCTCTGTGGTTCCTGGGGAGCTGGCTGCCCTGAGAGTGGGGCTAGCAGAGCCTGCAGCATGGATCAGCATCAGGCTCCCCGGAAGCAGAGCTGGGAGCCGGTGTGCCCTGGGAGCCTGCCAGATGGACTGCAGTCAGAGCCAGCAGCTGGGAGCCGGCACATGGCAGGAGCCTGCTGGCTGTACTGAAGAGCCCACAGTGCAGGACAGCCTGCTCCCCAGGAGTGGGGCTGGCAGCAGGGAGCCAGCACGAGCCGCCTGCTCCCCGGGAGTGGGGCTGGCAGCAGGGAGCCAGCACGAGCCGCCTGCTCCCCGGGAGTGGGGCTGGCAGCAGGGAGCCAGCACGAGCCGCCTGCTCCCCGGGAGTGGGGCTGGCAGCAGGGAGCCAGCACGAGCCGCCTGCTCCCCGGGAGTGGGGCTGGCAGCAGGGAGCCAGCACGAGCCGCCTGCTCCCCGGGAGTGGGGCTGGCAGCAGGGAGCCAGCACGAGCCGCCTGCTCCCCGGGAGTGGGGCTGGCAGCAGGGAGCCAGCACGAGCCGCCTGCTCCCCGGGAGTGGGGCTGGCAGCAGGGAGCCAGCACGAGCCGCCTGCTCCCCGGGAGTGGGGCTGGCAGCAGGGAGCCAGCACGAGCCGCCTGCTCCCCGGGAGTGGGGCTGGCAGCAGGGAGCCAGCACGAGCCGCCTGCTCCCCGGGAGTGGGGCTGGCAGCAGGGAGCCAGCACGAGCCGCCTGCTCCCCGGGAGTGGGGCTGGCAGCAGGGAGCCAGCACGAGCCGCCTGCTCCCCGGGAGTGGGGCTGGCAGCAGGGAGCCAGCACGAGCCGCCTGCTCCCCGGGAGTGGGGCTGGCAGCAGGGAGCCAGCACGAGCCGCCTGCTCCCCGGGAGTGGGGCTGGCAGCAGGGAGCCAGCACGAGCCGCCTGCTCCCCGGGAGTGGGGCTGGCAGCAGGGAGCCAGCACGAGCCGCCTGCTCCCCGGGAGTGGGGCTGGCAGCAGGGAGCCAGCACGAGCCGCCTGCTCCCCGGGAGTGGGGCTGGCAGCAGGGAGCCAGCACGAGCCGCCTGCTCCCCGGGAGTGGGGCTGGCAGCAGGGAGCTGGCACATGCCTTCAGAGCCTGCAACGCAGGGCAGCTGGTGCCCTGGAAGCGGGCAGAGTTTAACTGGTAACAGCTTCCCAGTTAACCAGTTAACTGGTTAAACTCTACATAGCTCCATTGTAAATCCATTGGTGCTAGAGGAGAAGTGTTGATTTAAGGCGGCTGAGGATCAGATCTTTAATCTGATTATGTAATTGACTATCCTGGTCTCCTGTGATCTCCATCTCCTTTACCCGCCACTGCAGAAACCCTGCCCAGATCCCCCCTTGTTCAGCAGCAGCCTCTGGGGTCCTTCCTGCGACGGGCAGGACCGCATTGCCGATGGCTTGGAGCTGCCGGAACTGCAGGTTGGCGACTGGCTGACGTTTGAGAACATGGGGGCCTACTCCATAGCAGCCGCGTCCTCGTTCAATGGATACCAGCAGCCACAGATCAGCTACGCCATGTCCCGGGTGGCCTGGTGAGAGAACTTCCAGGGAAAGGAGGGGAAGAAATCGGAGCTGGTGACTAGTTGCCTTGGGAGCCAGACTGGGGCGGTGTTGTGGGCTTTGAAGGAAAAGGGCCACTTTTCGAAGCAGGCCCACCAACAGCAGTTCTTGGCCACAGGCATGGGTGGTTGGTGAAGGTAGGGCAGGGGAAGGCAAGTCTCCAGCCCCGCCCCTTCTGCCGAGGCCCCGCCCCCCACCACGGAGAGGGGATGGAGGGAGGGCAGGCAG